CCCACCAGCCAAAGAACGATGCCATCTGTACTGCCAGTCCAGAGAGACGCGGGACGTGGTGAACATGCAGAGGATGGTCCACGATGGGACTCGCTGCTCGTACAGGGACCCCTACAGCGTTTGCGTGCGCGGAGACTGTGTGGTGAGTAGCAGGTTTGCGTTACATCATGGACATTAAATTAGGGGCAGCTGGTACAGCGGCTCATTTATACATCCCTGCATCATCCATAACTGCTTGTCTGGTACATGGTGACACTGAACCTAGTGCCAGGAAACACAGGGCACAAGACAAGGGCACAAGGCAAGGGCACAAAGCAAGGGCACAAGACAAGGGCACACCCTGGGCAGGATGCCAGACCCCAGCAAGGCACACACCGACACTCAGTGACACCCTACTGGCACTTTAGAGGCTCCAGTTCAGCTAAATCACACGTCTTGTACTGTAGGAGGAAACTGGAGTTGATGGGGCAAACTCAGACGGCACATGGAGAACGTAGACAATCCACACACAGCGAGTAGTGAGACTTGGACCCCCAACCCTGGAAGTGTGAGGCTCATGGGCTTCTCAGATTCTTTTTTGCATCCATTTATCCTGTTAGTGGACACTCAGTGCTGCTGTTAATTATTCCAAATGATGGAGATGCTTCAGGTCCTCCTCACTGAGCTCCAGCCATGTGTGAGATAAGAGTATATATACCACAACTGACGGGTGCCTCCGCTTATTTAAATTACGTCCTCCACAGTCCTTGTACAGAAATGACCTGATGTGTGTGTTTTGCTGGGGAGCATGATGATATCCATGAGTAGGAGAGAACTGGAGAGCCATCTGTAGTGGAAAAAGGTTACAATATGGAGGAAAGGGGGATGCAAACAGCAAGGACTCTCACAGACGTTCCACCAGCTAATCAGAGAAGAAAGTCTGGCCAGATATCACCATTGTCCTGGGATCTCGGCATAATGCAACAGTTCGCTCATTCTTATGCAGTTAAGAGAACATTTCAGAGTGTCATTACGCAGTTAGTAGTTTGTCAGCTAGTGTGGCTGTTCCCGTGCTGGCCAGCTCCTCGGAGACATGTTTTCCGTTGTCTAGCAACCATTTCTTATTTGTTCTGCCTAGGGATTACGTATTTTAAGTGAAGTATGCTATTTCATAAGTCTGCTCATTAAAATACCACTTTTAAATAAAACATGTTTTGAGCAATGTTTAAAATTTGCCATAACCATTTGTAAAAACAATTAGTAGCTTGAGGGGATGGTATATCGTGAATGTAGACACAGTTAAGGGAGGTTTTTAACACTTTATTAAGACAGACGTTTGTTTAGAAGGGTCAATGACGTCTGACCTTTTGCTCAAGGAGATTTACGGTCGGGTGTCCATCTTGAGGACCCCTACTTGTAGGCTATTGGGGAATTATCTGTGGAGACATTGGCATCATGAACAAGTGAACCCGCCATCCCTGCGGCATTCTGTAAAACAATACCTTATTTGTGTGTAAGTGCATGTAAGCACAGCTCATCAAAAATGACTGAACTCACTGTCGACCTTTATGGTGTCGTGTGGTTATTTTGCTGTTTTCTACTCGTCTTCCCCCAGTCCCACGGCCTGCCCGCACTCGTCTTCCCCCAGTCCTGCGACTGACCTGCACTAGTCTTCCCCCAGCCCTGTGGCTGGTCCCCACTCGTGTTCCCCCAGCCCTGTGGCTGGTCCCCACTCATGTTCCCCCAGCTCTGCGACCGGCCCGCACTTGTATTCCCCCAACCCTGCAGCCGGCCCGTACCCCTCTTCCCCCAACCCTGCAGCCGGCCCTAACCATGCAACCGGTGTCTCTGTGCCGACTACAGAAAGTGGGCTGTGACTATATGATCGGGTCCACTGAGCAGGAGGACAGGTGTGGAGCCTGTGGGGGGGACAACTCCAAGTGCAAGACCATCAAGGGGAACTTCACCCGGAGTTCCAAGAAGCATGGTATGCCCCCCCTCCGCCTGTTCATAAGTCATTGTTTGTTTTGTTGCTTAGTTGCCATCTCTTGTACACTATCTCTCATATCATGGAGCCACGTACACTGTGTGCTGCATCCCTGGTGCCACCTCCCGTGTTAATCAGTGCCAACTCTCTGCCTGCCATGCAGCCTCAGTGTTCTATCGCATGGCTAGTATTGGATGGTATGGACAGCCACCCATACATTGTCACTATTGGGCATCGGAGGGGAGATCTATTGTATGGAACCCCTCTCCGCCACAGTACCTCACTTGCTCCCTTCGAGTGTTCTGCCAGCCCAAACAGACCTCAAAGAAAAAACCCAGGCAGACGATAAGAACATGAACCATTCTCCATTTATTATTCTCCTTAAATACAGGCATTTTATTTGCTGGCTGTTAGATACAAATTATGTAACAGAAAACCTCGACGCCGGGACACAGATCAGAAGAGGCAGAAACGATTTAAATACATCTGTTTGCTTTCCCTGGCTTCCCCGGATTGTGTGTGATGGTGACGTGGGACGGACTCATCTGTGTTTTCTTTAAGATTCAGAGCGCCCTCAACTGTTAAATTGCTTTATATACAAGAATGGAAATAAGGTTCCAAGTTTAAAATGTTTCCATATGAGTACCTCAGTGCTTAAGTCCCTAAGGATTGTCAGTCAAACTTTCCGTTTTAACGTTTGATTCCTGTCTAGCGTTCCTTCAGTTAAATGTCCCTCTTTTTAATGGCTGTATCTGCAGTGTTCTGAAGCTCTGTGATTAGACAGTTTTACATATGATCAGTAAACTGGTGACCATCAACCATGCATACTTCTTACCTTTGTTACAGTGACACAAAATGAAATTGAAACCTGAAAAGGCACCACAGACACCGTTTAAATGCTAATAAATCCAGGTGTGCTGTTTGTGTCTCAGTCCTCTGTCACACTGAGGTATCCTTTTTGTAAATGTTGCTTTCCTCTGTTCTCTTTCCAGGTCTCATCAAAATGCTTGAAATCCCCCGGGGGGCAAGGCATCTCCTTATCCAAGAATCCAAGGGGACACCGCACATCCTGGGTAGGCCAGCAGAGACCAAACAGCCCTTTCCAAGATATCCACCTCACTGCCATCTTAATCTGCCCCAGGGGCTCTGAGGGAGGTTATTCGAGGGGAAGCACAGTTTTGGGGGTTTACAGAATAGGATTAGATAGAGTTACGTGTGCTTGGGGCTTGGTGGTGATTGGTGTTCTGAAATGCTTGTCACGTATGCGCTATGTCCATAGTGCTAAAGAACCAGGCAACTGGGAACTTCTTCCTGAATGGTGAGGAGGAGTTCCCCGAATCTCAGATGGTCATCGAAAAAGGAGTGGAATGGGAATACCTGAACGATGACGATAAGGAGACCATCCAGACTGACGGCCCACTGGGATACGGGGTCCTCGTTATGGTGAGCCAAATCACACTCTCTCGTGCACGCTCACACTTACAAACATACAATCTCTGCTCTAGCTACCTCCTCATTTGGCATTTGTCCACATTCAGATATATGATGGGTCTGAAACGAGAAATCAAGCTGATCCACAGAGTTGGTTGAGAAGGTTTAAGGACTACCCAAAGAGGCATTTTTGCTGTACCATTGTGTCACTGAGCAAATTAGTTAGACTGAACTGCTTTAAAATATACTGGATTCTCTATTAGATTGTAAAATATGTACATTACTTTGGATATAATATTAGCAAACAGATGGTGCATTAATATAGAGTAGAATCCGGTTTCCTGTGAGTAGGGAAGGCAGCCTTTTCTTTGGATTATACTGTGGTGTAAGGTAATTACAATCTGGACTGGATCCATTCTAATTGTGTGGGCAGAGGGAAGCACATGCAGCAGGTCAGTCATCTCCACAGAGCAGCAGGGTGTACCAGAGTTGTGCTGAAGGGTCACTTTGTGGACACTTTGTCAACCCGCACAGATGCAAATGCATGGAGAGGCCAAGGTCTCCCTGTCCTACAAGTACATCATCCACCAGGACCTGCAGCCACCCTTTGAGGACAATGGGCTCTTGGAGGACTGGGACCTGTACGAGTGGGCATTGAAGAAATGGTCACAGTGTTCAAAGCCCTGCGGAGGAGGTGAGCCCCTTCCGGGGAGGAATGAGTTAGTGTGCGGTACAATGCAAAAGTGTTAGACAGTCAAAGAAAATGTTCAAGTTCAAGTCAAAATGTTGAAGGCTATTTATCTTGGTAGTGATTGTATATTTGCACAGAAAAAAAAAAACAAAATTTAATATTATCACATATGCAAATTAACAGTAATGCAATAAAAAATCAAGAGTAATTTCATCTCTTCTGCCAGAAGTTACTGATATCTTGTTGGATAGCTAAATAAACTTGATTAACTTTATTTGTTAAATAACTCAATGGGGTATGAATTAGCCAAACAAGGTGGGGTGGTGGTCGAGTCAAAAAATACATGGGTGTATTGGACGGTTGCTAAAAGACTGCGGTGACTGTAGGATAGGTTTTGAAATGAAGATCATTTAACATCATTTCCTGTGACTGCCTAAGGCTTTTGCACAGTACTGTATAGGAATCATGGGTATATGTATGGTTTGGTTAGGCAGAGTCCATGAAGTAATAGTTGCATGCATTATACCGTAGTGTTGACTGCTGTGCTAACTATAACCAACAAACCCAACACCTAACCCTAACCCAACACCTAACCCTAACTCACTAATATTCTGACATTAGGTATTCGACATCGAGTGTGAGTGTGTTCTTTAATTGAAAGGTATCCAGTACACAAGGTATGGATGCAGGAAGAAGTCTGATGGAAAAATGGTCCACCGCACCTACTGTGAAAACTTAAAGAAGCCTCAAGCCATCAATCGGGATTGTAACCAGAAGGAGTGCTCTCAGCCTATGTAAGTCCCTGGTCAGGCCGTCCCGACACTGGCTGAATTCTCTCCTACTTTTGTCTGTGTGAATCTGCCGCTCTCCTCCCCATGTCCTCAAGAAGTTCATGGGCAAATAGCAAGTCCAGAGTAGGTATCACAAGAAATAAGTATTAAGTAATCAACTCAAACGAAACCCAAAGCAAACAACCCAGTTTAGCCATTGGGTTGACCTCATTGGCTTATAAAATAATGCCTGCATGGAATCCTGATGCAGAGCCAAAATAAGCAAAGAGGTCTGAATGATTTATTGACTGATTTTTTTTTTTTTTAATCTTACTGACACATCCTGTTCACAGTTTGGTACCCTTAGGCCCCACATGCATGCTAGCTTTGAATCTATTAGCTATATTTCAGTGTAGTGTTTGATGGAGTGAGGTATGTGTCGTTATCCATGCATATCTTGGTAACGGAAGAGTGATAGCCGATACCATGATGTGTGTGTGTGTGTTTCCATTCCTTTCAGATGGGTGACAGGCGAGTGGGAGACCTGCAGTAAGTCCTGCGGGAAGATGGGGTACCAGATGCGCTCAGTGCGCTGCATCCAGCCTCTGTACGACGGCACCAACCGCTCGATCCACAGCAAGCACTGCAACAATGACAGACCCGAGGCCCGCCGGCCGTGTAACCGACATCTCTGTCCCGCCAACTGGAGAGTGGGACCCTGGTCCCAGGTGAGAGGAGAGCTCTTGGTGGTCGCATGTGTTATTGTCTGTGAATACATGCATATAATACCAAGGTGTGTCTGCACGAGATTCAAAGGATTTAGCGGTACGTATTATCAACAAAAACTAATGAATTCTATGAATGAGGGTATGAGATCTGCCCGATGAAAAATAAATATGGGAATGAAGCACTGATATTGACTGGCTAACCTCACATTTAGGCAAGTAGGAATAGATGTCTATTTTGTCTGTTAGTGGATAAACCTCGATTCCGTCCCCCCTTCTCCCTTATACAGGGTTGGCAGTGAGTCCTGCCACAGGTTAGCCCTCAAGTGGAGTGAATGTCACTACCAATTACTACTGTAAACAGTTAAGCCACAGTCTGATAAATAAGTCACATGTATGTATGGCGAAATCGCCGGAGCACCATGCAAACCAAACAGAAGAGTACAGAATTGACATAAATGGGGCAGAGAATTCAAGCAGCTCAGATTGAACTAATGAAGGGACTCTTCTACTAACTCCTGGTTAAGTTCAGAGTAGAATAGAAATAAGGCATACCCAACCTTTGAATTCTGAATATCTTGTTAACTTTTTGGTAGGTTACACAAAATCAAACCAATTTGTTAGGTTTGGGATCCAACGCCGGTAGGGCTGCTGAGAAACTTCTCAGTCACTCACAAATGTGTTATTTTAGTAAGTTCTTCTAAAACTACTATGTAGCACAATTTCTGCCTTCCACTACATATTCACGGGGCTAACAGATTTTCCTTTACAATATGCCGTTGAGCTGGAAGGCGCCTTTGTATTTGGTGAGTGATATTGCTCTGGGACTGGAGCAAATGTTATTTGTCATATCATTTCTAGTGAATGGCTAGATACTGTAGGTTTGGATTCTCCTCCCAGTGATTCTTTAATAAAGACAAAAATTCCCAGTTACCCCTCTGCCATACAAGAGAGTATTCAAGAGCACAGACAACTGGGGAACCTCTCAAATAGGCAGAAAAGGTTTGATTTGTTTGACTGACTTGTTTATATCCGCAGACTTGAAACTTTTGATAAAACATCAGAGTAAGCCATCCATTTCAGAATGACATACGCTGGTCACATGCAGTGATTTATGAAGTTCGCTCAGTGTACGAGACATTCACTATGTGCTTTGATATCTCCCTTTTGGGATTCTCATTCTGCAGAAATTCCTTCAAAAGATACTTCAAAACAATTCAGAAAATACTGCTGTCATACCCTCTCCCCACAGACCCCTTCTGTGTCTATTTTAGAGAGAGGGAGTATACTGGAATAAGAAAAGTTATGTATATATTGATCTGTATGTATGTGTTTCAGTGCTCTGTCACCTGCGGCAATGGGACACAGGAGAGGCAGGTCTTGTGTCACACCCGTGACAACACCATTGGGCTCTGCATGGATACCAAACCAGAGAACATAAGGGCTTGCCGACTGACGCCGTGTCCGAGTGAGTCGCACGCCTGGTTAAGGGCCATAACAGGAGGCGGCTCCTGCCTGTGGAAACGTTAACCAGTCCGGCCCACTTTGGTTCTGCCAGCTTGCAGGCACTTCAGTGTCATGCACAGGGAAAGTGCATATTTTATATAGGCAATTTTAGGCCTCAGGCATGGCATAAACTAGAATGCAAGGCCCAAGCTCTGGGTTTGGCAAACAAATTCACACTTGTCTTTGCTTCTCCCCAGGGAGCCCCCTCAACCACGGCAAGAACGGCAACTTTCTGATTCAGTGGCTGTCCCGGCCCGACCCAGAGTACCCCATCCAGAAGATCTCTTCAAGTAAACGGCCACTTTATAACTCTGACCTCGGTCTTCGGTGCATGCCGTTTCTAACATGGACGCTGCCCCTTTCCCTCTGCCTCCCCTTGTGGGGCAAGTTTCCCTGACCGCAGACGCTGCGCTTCTTTCGTTTTGGGGGTGTGTCTCCGATGACATCTCTGCAGGAGGGAGGTCACGGCTTTCGCGCTATCTCTCTCTCTCCGTTTCTCTCTCTCTCCTTGTGGAGCTCTGTGTTGTGAACACTGGCCTCTTGACCTCGCCAAAAAAGGCTTTCAGTTGATTGGCGGCTTTAAAGTGTCGGTTTTGCGGGTGGCGGGTTGCAGCCTTCTGATTGGGCACTATCTTCAAAGCTGCGTGTCGCTCGTGGGTTAAGCTCTGACGTGGACGCTGGTCCTCAGTATCATCGGAGTGTCTGGTTGTGAGAGAAAAAAAAATTATATATATATATATCGAAAGCTTTCTCGTGAATGTGATCTTGTCACATCGACGGCATCTTCTAGGTGCTCTCTCTTTGCTTCCTGGTTCCATCTTCAAACAGACAGAAACACTGAGTGCAGAACAGCAGAAGAGAATATGACACCAACATCCTCCTTGAGTTCATTAACTGTGAATGTGAGTTATGGTGATGGTGAAATCGATGAAAACAAGGTCGCCTGTAGTGTGGGTGGCTTCTCGCTCGTCCTCATCCTCCATCCTCTCTCGACTGTTACTACAAAATGTTCAATAGATGCAGCTCATTTGTGCTTGCAGAATTTATATACATAAATATATATATATATATATAAATATGCGGACAAATCTCTATATAAGAATAATATTTATATTAACAATAACAATACATTTTAACATGAATAAGCTGTTGCTTATTTGCCTACTGACTGTTATGTGTATTTTTGTATTGATTTTACATGAATACAGAAGTAAATATTTAATAAGTGAAGTGTTTTCGGGGCGGGGGGGTCGTGTGGGGACTATATTATGCAGGACCAGGTCGGCCCGTGCCTAACCGTTTATTGGGGGGGGGGGGGGGGGGGGGGGCATGTGTCATGGCTGTCAAATGGGCTGGTGTTGTTTTTCTGTCCTCGGAGAAGGATCGCATTTCGATTCACGTGCATGTACATTCCTCATGCGTGGCGGTGCGCGACGGACACACGCGCCGTCCCGTGAACCCGCGTTTGTCTGCAGTGCGCACGCATGCCCGAGCGCGTCGAGCGCGTGTTTCCCATATGCGTGCGCGTCCGTGTGTCTCTGGCAACATTAAATGTCAGAAAGTGATACAAAATACCTCATTAACCTTCATCTGAGAAAAAAAGTAGTCAAATCTCATGTTTGTTACAGACATTAGCAAAAGAACAATGCCTTATTTTGGATTGAATGTAATGGCATTAATCTGTGGAGAAGATGGCTTCATTTACAGACGGGTGGGTTTGTCCGTGGTTCTTGGAACAGAGGCAGCTTCTAAAAAGTGAAAAAGATAAAATATGAAGACATTGTGCTGCACCCAACCACAAGGGACAGTTTACAGGGATAAACCGAGTTGGTACAAGGCATCCTCACTTCAGACTCGTCATTGTGTTGTGATCACGTTTCCGTTGTGACTATGTAGCGAGCTATCGAAACTTCGTGCTGGATTTGAGACGTGACGATACGTCAGACTTTGCAGTGCGATGCTGTACATAAAATTGGTGTTGACTGTATTTAATAATGTTCATGACTGTTAACCTCTTACTTTAAAAAAAGAATTACGAAACTATTATATACTATGGGTACCTTTTTCGTGGCTTCACTGGCCTTCAGTGTGAGGCTGGCTAACGTTGGGGAAATGTTCAGATGGACTACGTGCACTGCGTCTATATGCACTTTGCTTTTTTCAGGGAAACTTTATCAATGTTTTGTAAATGTTTAATATGACACTGAGTGTGCCATTTGAGTTTTTACATCATTATGAAATTATTTTCTCTAACACTATTATTTATTTATTTATTTATTTATTTATTTATTTATTTATCGATTGATTGTTTGATCTCCAAGTGATGAAGTGTTTTACCAAAGTGACTGTGAACTTGTACCCTTCAATACAGTTAATTTATTTATTTTTCTTAAGAAGAGTAAAAAGAAAACTATATATTTGAGGGGGGAGTGCATCGCATTGTTTCAGTTTCTGTCATCAACTGCAAAAGTTGTCAAAACAATAAAAAAAAAATGAAAAACAAACGTTTGTCCTCCTTTCTGAGTTTTGGTGCTGCGAAGTGTTTTTGCAGAAATGCAGGAAACCGCCGGCCAGCGCATGGACAGTCGCACACAGCACGTACACTGGGGGGCCCGTGAGTGCAGCCTCGCCTCCCCCCAGAGCTCTCAGGGCTGTACTCTTATAAGTGGAGGAAAAATTAAGAAAAATGATTTCATGCAGTGGGACATTTTGAAAATAGAGTTTGCATCGTCAAGCCGTAATAGATGCAGTCAATTGCTTAGTCGAGTGTTTGGTGTTAAAACGCATCTGTGCTCACTTGGTGTACTACCCACAATGATGACAGAAAATATCAAACACACCCTAGGTAATTGTGGATATACAGGAGCACCATGGAAACGCAGAAGTTTGATTGGGTGGAAAAATGACAGTGAATGTAAACTGACCCCAATATGGCAGCTGCCCAATCGCATGTAGGCTGCTTTGGCTCCCTCTCTTCTCTCTTGGCTTGCCGCCGTGTATAGGCCTTGTTTACCCCTGCATTCCCTTTTCCGCTCAGGCTTTCATGCCCAGTGGCTCTTCCCCTGTCTCAAATGTTTACTCTTATTTTTCCAGGGCAGCGTTGCCAAGGGGACAAGTCAGTGTTCTGTCGCATGGAGGTCCTGCATCGCTACTGCACCATCTCTGGCTACAAGCAGTTGTGCTGCAAGTCCTGCAGCGAGAACAGCCCCACCCCAGAGCCCAGCCCCTCCTTCCCCATGAGGAACACCACTGTAAGCACAGACAGGAAGTACACCACGACTTCCCCCCAAACAGCGAGCAGGTATAGCGCAGCTCCTGAATACACATCTGGGAGATCCCCACCGTTTACCATCTCCTCCATCAGCAGCAGATTGTTCACAACAGTAAGTCCAGCCACCAGCTTCAGTCACACTGCAGCCTCTAGTTCCATGACCATTTCTGAGGACACCAGCACAGACCCTAACTATGACGACTGGTTACTCACCAGTGCCACTGTCCCGGTCAAAGATCCCTTTGCAGATCTAAGTGATGCCTTTATTTCTGAAGACACTACAATTCCCAGCAGCACCATCACCACGGATGATATAATGAGTACTTGTACCACCGATACCAGTGATCACATCACAGTCCACATCCCAGCCTCTACTTACCTCAACAGTGTAGCCAACACCGTGGTGCCTACGGCTACTCCGACAACTCGAACCACCACCACACAAGCCAACCTCGCAAAACAAGAGGAGGAATCCAGGGAAAATAACTCAATCGATGTACCGTACAGGATTGTCAGTGTGGACAACGAGGTCTCCAACCACTTCATTCCAAGCAAGAGGCGTCTGTTTCGGGAACGGACGCGGAACAAACGGATTCAAGAACTCCTGGAAGAAAACTTTCTCAGAAGGATGAAAAGAGGACCATGAATTTCAATTTCTCTTATAGAGATGTGTCGATCCCGGACTACAGTTATTTAATCTCATGAAAACATGCATTGGTGCTTTGTCAAAACAAAGGTGCAAATGTTTCTCTCACTTCACTTCTTGAAGAAAAGGCAAACTGGAGTTCGTGAAGCAAAACCACTGGCAAAGCTTTGCACCATTGCTTTGGATCAAACACAGCCTCTTCGAGACTCTTCATTGAAGCTATTTGATTAAAGCAGCCTTTACCTTTTTGTGTGTACATGGCATCGGGCTCATTTGTAGTGGCACTTGAGTGTGAAACTTCATTTTTCCATACCTGCCCCAGTGTCTGTGTAGGACGTATAGTATCACATACAGTAGACCACACAATAGTAACACGGCCCTTACTGGACATAGTTTATTCTCATGGTTTGTCATGGTAGTGATACGTTGAGGTTTTTACAAACAAATCGAATTTGCGTGTGACACTCCTAACTGTCACACTGTAGCCCAGGACTGCAAACATACAGCTAAGGCACGATGTTGCTTTAGCATATAGTGGGAATGCAGGGCGATGCTTTTCCTGCCTATTTCTTTATTTGCTTAGTTTTATATTTGGCTGCCATGATAAGATTCCTGCAATAAAGTAGATTTTAGTTTTTGAAAATATAAAAAGTTAATTGTTCTTTTGGGATTTATGTCCCTAAAAAAAGAGGTAATCATTAAAACCCAGAATAATGTTAATTTTCCAGTTCTGCTCTTTCAGATGTTTTGTCGAAGGCGGATAATAGCTAACCATGAGAGTGTGAAAG